TACGTTGGTGCTTAAAGAGGTTCCTGTTTTTGTTATTAGTACATCCAAGAATGGCAGACTGTTATTTTCACTATTTTCATGTGTAAATCGGAGTACTGACTCTCTCTCTAGGTGTCTTTTTAGGTCAATTAGTTCATCTGAGTCTTTTACTATTACGAATATGTCATCTACATACAGTTGGTTTTTGTCTGCTACTGAAGACCCTATCTTCGATGGTTCCCATATAAAAATTAGCAAATAAAACTCCTAAGGGGGAGCCCATTGCTACTCCGTCTATCTGTAAATACATGTCTCCTTGTGGACTGATGAAAGGGGCTTCCTTTGTACATGCTTCGAGAAGACTTTTCAAGTGTGGCTCAGGTATGTCTAATTTGGGGGTGCTCTCGTCTCTGTATACTCTGTCCAATATCATTCCTATGGTTGTGTCGACTGGGACGTTGGTAAAAAGGGATTCAACGTCCAGGGAAGCGATGATTCCATCGGGCTGGGTAGTTTTGATCAATTCTAGGAAATCTGCTGATGATTGTAGACTAAACTTACTTGGAGTGTATGGAGTTAGGAGTTCATTGAGTTTTTTTGCCAGGTGATAAGTTGGGGTTGGTATTTGGCTGATTATAGGGCGTAGTGGGTTACCTGGTTTATGCGTCTTAACATTGCCGTAGGCATATCCTAAGCCATAGTCGCCTTGAAGTTTATTGAAATGCACACTACCTTTCTTTGCGTTGATTGCTGTAATTGTTTGTTTACTTTCCGCTTAAGGTCTTCTACGGGTTCCTCGTGATTCGTTGAAATTTGGAGTCGTCACTTAGGATGTCGCTAATTTTGTTCATGTATTCATGGGTAAGAATCAATACATATGCTGCTGTTTTGTCGGCTTTTCTTATTGTTACGTCTTTCAGATTTTTTAGTTGTTTCGCTGCTTCTTTGAGTCGTGGGGTTAAGATTGTAGATGAATATGTTCCTCGTTTTTTTCCCTGCTTCTGCAAGTAGTTCAGCTTGAAGTGTGTCCGTGGTGATGACTTTTTTGTTGTCTTCTAGCTTATGGATATCGTCCAGAATCATTTCGATTTCCAGGCGTTTTTGATGCATCTTTGGTTTAGATAAGAATTGACAATTTAGACCAAGATTTAAGAGGTCTCGTTGGTCCTGGGTAAGATCATAAGAAGTCAGGTTAAAGTAGCCATCTTTAGGACGAGGGATTTTTAGCTGTCCACCGTTTAGGGATGTTAACTTACGGAGTGTCTTTGTTTCTACAAGAGTTTTATGTTGTTGTTTCAGGTTAAATAGTTCACTGTTGATGGTTTGCTTGAGTTGGATAGGGATGTCGTACTGGGTCCATTTGTTTAACAGATGCTCCGCCTGCTCTATAAAGGTTTGGAGGGCTTCCTTCTTCTTGTTTAGTTGATGCCGAATGAGCTCTTGCCTATACCTATAGGTAAACTCTGTATTGCGGACTGCTGGGTCATGTGGGTTTATATTGGTGTATACTCGCAGCAGGTTTTCTTTCAAACATGTTTCATTGAATATGACCGCATATTCTGTATTTATTATTTTCTGGTTTAGGGCTTCTATCCCTCTAACTATTTTCTTAGCATCAGGGCTTAATTGGAATAGGAGTTCAAACTCCTATTCCAATTATGCCCTGATGCAAAGAAAATAGTTAGAGGGATAGAAGCCCTAAACCAGAAAATATTAAATACAGAATATGCGGTCATATTCAATGAAACATGTTTGAAAGAAAACCTGCTGCCAGTATACACCAATATATATATATATATATATATATATATATATATATATATATATATATATATATATATATATATATATATATATATATATATATATATATATATGCATATATATATATATATATATATATATATATATATATATATATATATATATATATATATATATATATATATATGCAACAATGATCACAAAAACACTGATCCAAGTATGCAGAATAACCACATATGAAAAATAGAAAATGCTTAACGCGTTTTCGGCTAATTCGCCTTCATCAGAGCAAAGTAGAATGATTCCACTTTGCTCTGATGAAGGCGAATTAGCCGAAAACGCGTTAAGCATTTTCTATTTTTCATATGTGGTTATTCTGCATATATATATATATATATATATATATATATATATATATATATATATATATATATATATATATATACACCAATATATATATATATATATATATATAGATATATATATATAAGAGGTCTTACTATCTGGTACCCACTGGATCGTGTCCGTGGAACTTTTGATGAGTAAAAAGCAATTATGAACTGAACAAGTTCGCTGAAAACTCCATAACAAATACAAAAACTTGAAATATACTACATGGAAACTGTTTATGTTGAGACTGACACGACAGAAGATTTTGCTTTACTAATTGTTAATTTTTTTGTAACGACTGTTTGTCACAGTAGTTAGGTAACCAAGTTCTAAAGTGACTTCAGTGCCTCACTTCAGTGCCTCACTTCAGTGCCTCATGTCAGTGCCTCATGTCAGTGCTACACTTCAGTGCCACACTTCAGTGCCACACTTCAGTGCCACACTTCAGTGCTACACTTCAGTGCCACACTTCAGTGCCACACTTCAGTGCCACACTTCAGTGCTACACTTCAGTGCCACACTTCAGTGCCACACTTCAGTGCCACACTTCAGTGCCTCGCTTCAGTTCCTCACTTCAGTGCCTCACTTCAGTGCCTCACAGCCCTGTGTCCCTATCCTACGAGGGGACCAATCACAGCCTGCTTGACCATCCCCAACACGCTCGAGTCATATATAAACAGGTGTATGCCGGACACTGAGCCCACTCAGCCACGGACTACCACTAGTAATTAACTCTCCTCCAGAACCCAGCACACTATTCTCTCTGGCAGTAGACCTTAATGGTCTGCTTACCCGGTTAACACTCTATCAACTCTCAGTGACCCTGTCGCTACGTCATCTGATGTCTCAGTGACCCTGTCGCTACGTCATCTGATGTCTCAGTGACCCTGTCGCTACGTCATCTGATGTCTCAGTGACCCCTGTCGCTACGTCATCTGATGTCTCAGTGACCCTGTCGCTACGTCATCTGATGTCTCAGTGACCCCTGTCGCTACGTCATCTGATGTCTCAGTGACCCTGTCGCTACGTCATCTGATGTCTCAGTGACCCTGTCGCTACGTCATCTGATGTCTCAGTGACCCCTGTTGCTACGTCGTCTGATGTCTCAGTGACCCTGTCGCTACGTCATCTGATGTCTCAGTGACCCTGTCGCTACGTCGTCTGATGTCTCAGTGACCCTGTCGCTACGTCGTCTGATGTCTCAGTGACCCTGTCGCTACGTCGTCTGATGTCTCAGTGACCCTGTCGTTACTGGGAGCTGTAGTGAAGCTATGATGGTCGGTGATGTTACCATTTGACCTGACAGTCACGGTCAAGGACCTTGATCAGGTCATGACCTAGTGACCCGTTACCCTGAGGTGCTTCCGGGGCTTAGCGTCCCCGCGGCCCGGTCGTCGACCAGGCCTCCTGGTTGCCGGAATGGTCCCATAACACACGTTTCTTGAGATTATCGTGAGATGATTTCGGGGCTTTTAGTGTCCCCGCGGCCCGGTCCTCGACCAGGCCTCCACCCCCAGGAAGCAGCCCGTGACAGCTGACTAACACCCAGGTACCTATTTTACTGCTAGGTAACAAGGGCATAGGGTGAAAGAAACTCTGCCCATTGTTTCTCGCCGGCGCCTGGGATCGAACCCAGGACCACAGGATCACAAGTCCAGCGTGCTGTCCGCTCGGCCGACCGGCTCCCGGACGTTAACAATAGTGATAATCTAACACTTCCTCAAAACCTGTTTTGAACACGAAAATATATTGATCCGGGTCTCAACACTTGGACAATACAAAGGCAGTCGAAAAATAATTTAAAATAAACATTAATCAACATTGTAGTGTTGAATAATGTTTATACTGAACATACACCAGGGCTTACGTTAACTGTCAGTGTATACATTCTGAGATCCTCTCAGTGTATATACACTGAGAAGTGAGGTATTCTCCTTCAGTGAATATACACTGAGTGGTGTGGTAATCCCCTTCAGTGAATATATACACTGAGAGGTGAGATAATCCTCTTCAGTGAATATATACACTGAGAGGTGAGGTAATCCCCTTCAGTGAATATACACTGAGAGGTGAGGTAATCCGCTTTCAGTGAATATACACTGAGTGGTGAGGTAATCCCCTTCAGTGAATATACACTGAGAAGTGAGGTAATCCCCTACAGTGAATATACACTGAGTGGTGAGGTAACCCCCTTCAGTGAATATACACTGAGTGGTGCGGTAATCCCCTTCAGTGAATATACACTGAGAGGTGAGGTAATCCCCTTTCAGTGAATATATACACTGAGTGGTGCGGTAATCCCCTTCAGTGAATATACACTGAGTGGTGAGGTAATCCCCTTCAGTGAATATACATTGAGAGGTCAGGTAATCCCCTTCAGTGTATATTCACTGAGAAGTGAGGTAAATCCCTCAGTGTAGATATACTTTGATACTACACAAGCAGTATAGCTGATTTCTACACACGTTCTGAGGATTTCCCAGTCTCGAACTCTGGCGTGAAACAGCTCATCATGTGTCACGTAGCCGTCTGAAATATGTATCTCCCGCCAGCAGGAGTAAATCTGATTCCATACCCCCCCCCCCCCCACACACACACACCACCCTCTTCCCTCCCCACAAATGATGATAATATTATTCCGAATTTAAAATGCATTGATCCCATAAATAATCAGACTGTAAGCAGCTATTTATCATCCAGACTACCTGGAAAGACTCACTTATTAACCGAGGTGCCTTAATAAACGGTCAGAACACCCTTACAGTACACTCACATACCGCCCTCGGCAGTTTCAGACATGTTTAATTGAACTGCTACTTTAATTGACTTGATACAAGTCTCATAACCCATTTTCTTTTCTTTGCAGGTCGCTTCCCGTTTTCTTCAGAGCTGTGCCTTCTGTGGATCTCTCTGGACGTGCTCTTCTGCACCGCGTCTATCATGCATCTGTGTACTCTCTCCGTCGACCGGTTCCTCTCTCTCAGGTATGGTCAGAGTTATCACTCTACATCCTAGCTACCCTCCAAACACACACCGAAACTACGACGTTGGTACAACGTTCCAACAAGTTTTAACACCTCCTAACCAGTTATAACAACCAATATAGCAAGTTGTAACAACGTTCTAATACGTCATAAACACGTTAAGCCAAGATGTAACAACTTTATTACAAGTTGTAACAAGCGGAAAATAGAGACAGTTACGGTTTGTGTTTCCAGGGAGCTCCCTTCCTCGAGTCATCCATTACTCAACACCTTTGTGTATTCATGTACCAACACTCGACAGTTGAGAGGCGGGGCCAAAGAGCCAGAACTCAACCTCTGTAAGCACAAATAGTTGAGTAAGGATTCAACGTTTTTGTGCCGTAGACACAAACTTACAACATATGTTATCTATAATATATATTTCAGTAACATCTGATATTAAAGCTTCATTTTCTGTTGAACCTTTACATCCTAGAGGCGAAGATTTGTGAACTGTTTATAGTTAATCCAACACCTTTCACTGTGATAATGTGATCAGCCATTGTCTCATTATATACAACTTTCTGGGACATTTTTCTGGTATTATTCCGTTTTCTATGTTATGTCAACACGCTCCGACACACGACGTTTTCTATGGTTGATCATTTATCAGTAACTAGTGTAGATATACTCTCGTCACGTGGAGCATAAAAAGCTATATAAACGGTGCTCTCAAAGTTAGGTCCATAGAAACGCTGTGTACTGTACAGCTAGAACACATTAAGCCTGACAAACATCACTATGCTACGTTAGTTCTGCCTATATAAATCGTATATATGGTAGGGGCCTGACAGCTGAGTGGACAGCGCTTCGTATTCGTAGTCCTGAGGTTCCGGGTTTGATCCCCGGTGAAGACGGAAACAAATTGTACAGAGTTTCTTTCACCCTGACGGCCCTATTCACCTAGCAGTAAATAGGTACCTGGGAGTTAGACAGCTGCTACGGGCTGCTTCCTAGGGGATGTGTAACAAAAAGGAGGCCTGGTCGAGGACCGGGCCGCGGGGACGCTAAGCCCCGAAATCATCTCCAGATAACCTCAAGAAGATATACCATAATGAGTCTTAGTTTAGCCTATATAAACCGTATATATGTTATAAAATAATATACAGTGAGCTAATCAGTGGGAACCATGAACAGGATTCGAACCCTCTTCACCTGGTACAGCGTAGCACACGCCCTAGACCACTCCACCACGACATGGTCAAAAGCAATGCACCCTGGGATCCCATTCAATCGTCTAGGAGTCGAGGGGTCCTCTAAGGCTTCAACTGAAGCCCAAACAGGGTTTCCATGCCGTGGAATTTGTTTTTCATTTTCATGCCATTTCCAAATATTTTCATATTATAAGTGTCAAGCAACTAATTTATATTAGTAATGTGACCGTCAGAGGTCAATACTGCGCTCTTCTGAGCTCAGTGGCCAGGGTCCAGATTCACGAAGCAGTTACGCAAGCACTTACGAACGTGTACATCTTTCCTCAATCTTTGACAGCTTTGGTTACATTTAATAAACAGTTTACAAGCATGAAAACTTGCCAATCAACTGTTGTTATTGTTATAAACAGCCTCCTGGTGCTCCGGAGCTCATTAACTGTTTAATAATTGTAAACAAAGCCGCCAAAGATTGAAAATAGATGGTCAGGCTCATAAGTGCTTTCGTAACTGCTTCGTGAATCTGGCCCCAGGTGCTCGCTTGTCCTAATGATAGAACCAGCCCGGTAAATTGTCTACAAGGTCGTCTTTGATTGGCCTCCTGAGCTATATAGAAATGTAGCATAGTTCTGTGACACAGATGGTACTGAAATCTTCAAAGCTTGGCGCCTACCTTTCATCATTGATATTCACACGACAAGCATTTTTTTTACTTTATATATATATAAAGTAATATATATGATATGTATCCTCCAAAGGATACCTGATCAACCAGGCTGTGACTCATATGTCAGGCTGCGAGCAGCCGCGTCCAACAGCCTGGTTGACCAGTCCAGCAACCATGAGGCCTGGTCGACGACCGGGCCGCGGGGACGCTAAGCCCGGAAGCACCTCAAGGTAACCTCAAGGTATATATATACATATATATATATATATATATATATATATATATATATATATATATATTATATATATATATATATTATATATATATATATATATATATATATATATATATATATATATATATATATATATATATATATATATATATATATACAAGAGTTGTAACAGTCTTGTACAGCCACCAGGACGTGTAGCGTTTCTGGCAAGTCCTTAATCCTAAGGTTCCCTTGAATACGACCCGCCAAATCGTTTAACAACCAGGTACCTATTTTACTGCTGGGTGAACAGAGGCTACAGTTAAAGATTGGCGCCAAGTAAATCCCTCTCCCGGCCAGGATACGAACCCAGAACAAAGTGCTCGCGAAACGCCAGTCGAATATGTTACCACTTCGCCACGGGAACAAAATTATTTAAAAAAATTGAATTCAAGTTCAAGTATGTTTACTGAGACAAGACAAGAAAAATTACATCTCAAAGGGATAGATGTCCGGTACTGTGTTTGTATTAAAATATTTTCTTAACTCAAGGATCATTCCTTAGAGCATTTGGGCCGGACTCACCAACCTAACACATACAGTGGCCCCGTAGTTATGTACTACCACTCACAACACAACTAACACTAACTACCACTCACAACACAAACATTAGCTAACTACCACTCACAACACATCACTAACTACCACTCACACCACAACAAACTCTCCATACACTACCAACGCACCCAACCACTTGGGCTGGACGGTAGAGCGACGGCCTCGCGTCATGCAGGTCGTCGTTCAATCCCCGACCGTCCACACAAGTGGTTGGGCACCATTCCTTCCCCCCGTCCCATCCCAAATCCTTATCCTGACCCCTTCCCAGTGCTATATAGTCGTAATGGCTTGGTGCTTTCCCCTGATATCCCTCCCTCCCTCCACTGAGAAATACTTCAGCAGGGTAACGACTCACAACTCACGCACTCATGCCACACACTACTCACACACTCATGCAACATACTACTCACACACTCATCCAACACACTACTCACGCACTCATGCAACACACTACTCACACACTCATGCAACATACTACTCACACACTCATCCAACACACTACTCACGCACTCATCCAACACACTACTCACGCACTCATCCAACACACTACTCACACACTCATGCCTTGTAACTCTACAGTACAGTAATACCAACACGGCCTTCAAGTGTCTTTCAAAACGATTAATACAGCCTAAAGAGACCCCACGAATCCAATTATTCGTGTAAATCACTTAGAAATAATCCTAAATATAAATCTAATCAGAAAACAGTATGCCTATAATATTCCAGGATTTCGACTCAACAGTTAGAAATGTATATATGATAGATCCTAAAGTGTGTTAAATCCCCCTATATGTAATACAATGTAACAATGCTTCTTCCTGTAACCAATTGAAAAGAGAGAAAGAATGATGTTCCTAAATGATATTTATATGTACTCAATTATAATTATATTCCTTCCGTTCTGTATTTTTTCCCTATTGTATTTTCATCCTAATCATGTTACCTTGAGTTGGTTGGTTTCGGGGCTTAGCGTTCCCGCGGCCCGGTCATCACCTAAGTCTCCTCGTTGCTGGACTGGTCAACTAGGCTGTTGGACGCGGCTGCACGCAGCCTGATGTATTAATCTTTGCTAATAATTTTGCAAACCTCTCGTAATTGTTCTTAAATAATGCATGTAAACTGTTATCACAAATGTGACTCATTAGACCAAGCTGTAAATTATTTACACTCTTTAATTAACGCAAAGTATCAACTTTGTGTTAATTTAAGTTGATACTTTGTTGAAATAAAATAAAAATGAAATAATATTAAAGTTTACCTTTAAATTGTACATGTTAATTTTATCTTTCAATATTGAGAATTACTCTGAAAACTATAATTTAAATTATAGACGTTATTTGTAAAAATTTTACAACAGTGCTTCGAGCGAATACTGACTTGAAAAATATTGAATTCTATACAGGTAATTCTATAATACTATACATTATTCTATGTATTATTGCTTTTCTCCATTTTCTATTTGATGATAACTTTGTAATCTATTCATGAGTTCTATACAGTGATACAGGTATACACCCCGTGTCTCGGTGTATACAGAGATCACTTTAGTCTTTAGCCTTCATGAAGATTTAAGTGCACTTTCAATTCACCATCACTTCATCCATTTTTTTTAAGTGCACTTAAGGGCACTGGTCAGCCAGCTCGCGATGGTGGGAAATTCCATCCCACGGTTGATAAGCCTCACAAGCAACACGAAATTAATCAATCTATCCTAATCTCTCTCTCTGTCTCTCTGTCTCTTCCTCTCTCTCTCTCTCTGTCTCTTTCTCTCTCCCTCTGTCTCTTTCTCTCTCCCTCTCTCTCTCTCTCTCTCTGTCTCTCTCTGTCTCTCTCTCTCTCTCTCTCTCTCTCTCTCTCTCTCTCTCTCTCTCTCTCTCTCTCTCTCTCTCTCTCTCTCTCTCTCTCCCCAATAGCTTCCACACTGTAGCTTCCTGGAGCCTGAGAACAGTTCCTGTCTCGAATAATTGTAATTCCTAATCACTTCGTGCCTCCCACAACAACACGATCCGCCAATTGATTTACCTCCAGGTTCCCAATTAGTGTGTGGTGGTGAGGGCCGAGTTTAGTAACGCTGCGAACCACTTCATCAAGGCTCTCACAGCGTGCATGGAATGTCTCACACTTGAGTCCATAGAACCAACACAGCCGTCAGAGTGAACCAACACAGCCGTCAGTGTGAACCAACACAGCCGTCAGTGTGAACCAACACAGCCGTCAGTGTGAACCAACACAGCCGTCAGAGTGAACCAACACAGTCCTCACAGAGTTCGAGGTTCAGTGACAGTCAGATGTCTCCACTCTCACCCTGGAACAACAACAACAGATCCTCCAGGAAGCAGCAGTAACGGCACACCTGGAACAACACTGACTCTGGAGTGTAATTTGGGGGGAACACGTGGCTCTGAACACACAATACACACAACACCCACCTCTGACACCTGCCATTCCTCATACTTGCCTCATAATTAGGTCCCAAGTTTCCGCTGTGTTGCTGTGTGATTATAATGAGGGGTTTGGGTGTAGCAGTGTGTGAGTGTGTAGGGTGTAGGAACTCCTTCTCTCTCCCTCATACTTGTCTCTCTCTTCCTCCCTCTCTCCCTCACACTTGTCTCTCCCACTTCCGTTCTTCACTCTTTTTCTTCCCCTTGACTTTTTCTCTGCTTAGTCAAGGGTTATTGGGAATATTGCTGAACCAGGAAATGAGAGTGTGAGTTAAGAGCTGGGGCCTCCACACCCCCCCCCCCTCACCACCTACTCACAAAACCGATCTAGTCAATGAACACATTGTTGATCCTCATTTACTATGAGCTTTATTTATGCTAAGTTAATAAAGTTACAGTCATGTTGGGTGCTAACAGTCATGTTAGCAATACAATTCATGCTCAGTTACAATCATGTTATGTGCTGAATGATAATGGAGATAACACTGTACCAGAACCTTCTTGTGCCACAAATGTTATCTACCATTGAATGTCCGGTGATGATTATCTATTTCCAGCACAAGAACAATATGAAGAGTCTTCACAAAATGTGTGAGATCAAGATTAGAAGTGAAGACCTGGTGTTGGTAGACATTACGCTAATGGCTTGACTCCTCGTGTGTTTTTTCCAGTTGTTTGACAAGGCTGTTGTGTGTGGTGGCTGCCGTGGGACATCTCGTAGCCTTAAGATGTATATATATATATAATTTGTACTAGATAGAACACGTAAAGCAGAACTACGTAGGTAGGTACCGTTTGAGTGGGAATGGCCATCAGTACATAGTAATTCTTGGTCTGTTCTCAGACTGTAATTCTTGGATCCTTTGTATCAAATTCATTTTTATTTCAACAGGTGTCCTGATGCCCAGTCTTCAGGGCAGTGGGTACCCTTGTTTTGTTACTGTCAGTCATCAGCAGCGTGCCCTTCACACTTGTTCCTTGTCTCTCTCTCTCTTTCCACACTTGCTTCTCCCTCTAAACAGACATTTATGAATAAAGTATTTGAATTTTTCTTTGCACACTCGCCCCTCTGCCTCTCCTCACACTCTGGTCGTCTCCGCAGGTACCCGATGAAGTTCGGACGACACAAGACCCGTCGTCGCGTCGTGCTGAAGATCGTGCTGGTGTGGTGTCTGTCGCTGGCGGCGTCGCTGCCGCTGTCACTGATGTACGCCACCGACCCGCACTCCACCATCGTGGACGGCGTCTGTCAGATCCCCGTCTCGCTCTTCCAGATCATCGGCTCCGTCATCTGTTTCTACATCCCGCTCACCATCATGCTGGTGACGTACACGCTCACCGCGCGGCTCCTGTCTAAGAAACAGATGGAGCTCCAGGCCACCGTGCTGGAGACCTCGTCCGCCTCGCCCTCGCCCAGATCTGTCCGCTGGAAGAAGCTGCTCTGTAAGACGACCTCGAACTTGAGCACCAGCACGGCGGTGTCCCTCACGGACGGGGAGCTGGAGGGCAGGCTCGAGGCCCACTCGGAGGAGGGCAAGCTCCAGACCTGCGCCGAGCAGGGCAAGATGCGCGTTCGTTGCGAAGAGGGCAAACTGCGCAGGTTTGGCAGCAGTCCTCTGCGTCGGCCGCCGCTGGTCCGCTACACTGCGCATCACTACCGCGCAGCTCTAGTGCGCGGTGGCAGCTGCGGCGCCCGCGGCTACTCCAGCAGGGAGCTGAAGACGGACGGTAGTGTTATGGCTGACGACGACCGCATGTTCCCGCACCTGGCCGCCAGCGCAGGGTTTGAGCTGAGTGTGCTGGCGTCAGGCCCTCGCTCAGCCCCGTCCTCCACCACCACGTCCCCCATGCACCGCCCCCAGCATGACGCCGAGGGCTCCCACGCCACCCAGATGGCCACAGGAGGCCCCTCAGGAGGCCCCTCGGGAGGGCCCGTGAAGGAACACGACTCGAGCTTCAGGTGTGAGCAGAATGGTGACCCGGGCAGGCGGGGGGGCGGGGAGGAGGAGTGTGGGGCGGGGGACGCCAGTCACGTGACCGTCCCGTGCAGCTGTGCTCCCAGGTTCTTCCTGGAGGACATCAAGACCTCCTCGGAGAGCCAGTGTGACGAGTGCTCGGACCTCCGGCCGCAGGACATGGCCGCACCTTACCGCAGCCACCACAACCGCCGCAGCCACAGCCAGGAGCGGCGGCGGGGTAGCGCTGGAGGCGGCTGTTGTTCCTGCATCCTGCCCCGCCTCACCCGCACCGGACACAGCGGCTCCCGTGAGTGTCTTAGCATGTGTCCACAACTATGTCCTGGAGGTCTAAGTATGTATCCACAACTGCTATGTCCTGGAGGTCTAAGTATGTATCCACAACTGCTACGACCTGGAGGTCTAAGTATGTATCCACAACTGCTATGCCCTGGAGGTCTAAGTATGTATCCACAACTGCTACGACCTGGAGGTCTAAGTATGTATCCACAACTGCTACGACCTGGAGGTCTAAGTATGTATCCACAACTGCTTCGTCCTGGAGGTCTAAGTATGTATCCACAACTGCTTCGTCCTGGGAGTGTTCCAGTGACTGTATATGCCGAAGCACCACACTGAAAAATAAAAGAATGCTATATCGCGTTTTTGACCAACAGGCCTTATAAATAAATAAAACAGAGGAAACTTTCCTTTTCAATACTGCTCAAAGCCAAATCGATAGAGCGTCAGCCTCACCCGCATGTGGTCCAGGGTTCGAGACCCATAGTACCCAGGTGAATGGACCATCAGGCCTTCATCAATATCCAGACTGCAGTTTTAACTGGAGTAGAGAGGGGAAAGAATGGTGACGAGGTCACCCAAGCCCCAAGGGAACAGGTCACCAGATTGCCCTGATGGTGAGGATGATACTGACACAAATATGTTATAAGGAAGGAAGGGAATAAATGAATTAAATATAGGTCAAGATACCCTAGTGGGTGAGCGTGGAAGTGGGGATAGGGGGGAAGAATTAGTGGGGGTGAGAGGAAGGGTTTTCAGTATGAGGTAAGGTGCCAGGGCTAGACCCAGCTGCATGGCATTGATTCGTTATGACTAGACTAAGCAATGGAGGCAAGGAATCGGATCTTTGTGACAACATTTCGTCTTGTCTTTCGGCGTGCCCATGGAGATAGCAGCCCTCAGCGGGGTATGCCATGGAGGCTCACACCAGATGGGGTCTTGGATTTGCTAATCAGCATCGTGCCCCACCCAAGGCACCAGAAAACGGGAGCTAACAGGCACCCCCCCCCCCCTAAAGAGGGGGGAGAAGAATTAAGGAGGCTATGTAGTTTGGAGCTAGGTGATTTGAGTAGTGGTATAGTAGAGGAGAGGGGTCATGTATCATGTAAAGGACGGAGCAGGAGGTGGGTCGTCGATCAGGTTAAAGAGGTTGTGCGTATGTCTGGGTCTACTTAGGACGTTTCTGAGGAATGCGTCGTAGTTGTCATGATAAGTGAGAATTCTTGTGATCTGTTTCTTCCCCATAGTATCCCAGGTTATGTTCAGAGCTGGGATGTTGGCCCTCTCATACAGGACTTCACTGGTGGTGAAGTCCTGCCAGTGGGTATCGAACACCCATCTCAGAGCCCTGTTCTGGGTACGCTGGAGTTTTTTTTCCTATTTGTTGGTGCTACAAGTGAGAGTGGGATCGGTGCATATGTTAGCAGTGGGAGAATAAGTGTTTTGTATAGATAGAGCTTGGTGGCTTGGGAGGCATGTCTGAGGGGGGAAGAGTTTTGATAGAGCTTTTGAGGCTATAGCTTTCTTAGGTGTTATATGTGTGTGAAAACGAAGGTTAGAGTTTAATGTGAGTCCAAGTACTGTGGTGTTGTTGAGTCTTGGGATCTGGGTTGCATCTGGTGATTGAGAGTAGAGTTTTATTGGGGCAGGGTTGCATCGTTTGTTGTAGAGATAGTTTAAATAGTTAGGTTAGTTAACAAGTTATACGCGTTGATATCAAATTATGATTTTAGACGTGTGAGTTTCGACGTGACGGCCTTTTTCACTACAGTTCCGGTTGATGAACTTACTGGCTTTCTGGCAAGATGAACTACCCAAATATGATTTAACTATACCTACTAATATCATTCTTGAACTAATTAAATTTTTCATAGGAGATAACTTTTTAAAGTTTTAATGATTTTTTTTTAAATAGACATTTGGCATAATGATAGGTAATCATCCCCTTTCCCCTGGTGTTGAGCAATTTGTACATGGAGTTCCTTGAAACAAAGATTTTACCCAGTATTCAACTGTAATGTTATGTGGTATAGGTACGTCGACGATATTTTGTCTTTGGCCAGTTTACCATTGCAACAAATATCATCAATCAACTTAATTCGCTGGTTCCTTCAATTAAATTCATGAATGAGAATGAAGAGAATGGTGTTCCTGCCCTATTTTTACACCAGGATTTATGGAATCAATAGGAGTTCCAAATGCAGGCGATGAGTCACAATAACGTGGCTGAAGTATGTTGACCAGACCACACACTAGAAATTGTAGGGACGACGACGTTTCGGTCCGTCCTGGACCATTCTCACTTGAGAATGGTCCAGGACGGACCGAAACGTCGTCGTCCCTTCAATTTCTAGTGTGTGGTCTGGTCAACAGGAGTTCCAAATTCAATGTGTATAGGAAACATACCAATGTGTGCTCCTATGTTCACTTTTGCTCTAATCATAATAGAGTTGAGTGGGCAGGATTTTGTGGCCTGTTTCTCAGAGCCTTGAGGGTTTGCTGCCCGGAATTATTTTGATGAAGAAATAGCTAAATAATAAAATATATGAAATTGGGAAGAAGTTGCAATATCCAAAACTTTCTTGGACGTCTCGTTTGGGCGAGCTAAATGTATGTTCTACAAACATACTCTCAAGACTAAACCAGAACTTAATAACTCGCTTGTTTTACAGTATTCTGAAGGACTAACAAAACTTTCTCCATCTCTGAAGAACTTCAATATTAATCCGTTGCTCAAAAATAATATGATTAAGACCATTTTAATTAAGAACTTGTCCCTGTCTGCAGCAAGTTGTATGTATTTGGTCTATCTTGATTATCTTGAGATGATTTCGGAGCTTTAGTGTCCCCGCGGCCCGGTCCTCGACCAGGCCTCCACCCCCAAGAAGCAGCCCGTGACAGCTGACTAACACCCAGGTACCTATTTTACTGCTAGGTAAAACTGGCATAGGGTGAAAGAAACTCTGCCCAATGTTTCTCACCGGCGCCTGGGATCGAACCCAGGACCACAGGATCACAAGTCCAGCGTGCTGTCCGATCGGCCGACCGGCTCCCTGGTCGCTTGCAAGGAGTGTACATTCGTGCACATTGGCCAAACAGGTAAATCTTTAAACTCACATTTATTTCAACATTCTTACTCAATATCAATGGCCCGGGAATCTAGTGCATTGTATTTCAATTCCAGTTTATCTGACATTCATTCCTTATCTGACCATTCCTCTCATAGCTACACTGTGAGAGGAGCAAAATGCACTGTTCACTGCAAGGAGTGTTGGTGAGCAGAATATGACTGAATCAGCCCTGATTAACCAGTGTCCCAGTAGTTCCAATGTTAACTCTGGCATTTACAAATTAGTTCCACATTTAAGCTCCCATGTTGCCATTCAGTTCACTTGAATATAAGAGTTGAACCTCGTGAAGCAGCCCAGTAAGGAGTGTTTGGATAATTTCCCATCTTGAGTCTTTTTGGTTAATTAGTTCATGTCAATTTTCACAGCCCTGAATAATGTAGTTTTGGTCAATTAGGTAATATGTTGAGATAATTCAGATTTCTATCTGGGTGATATAAAATTAACTTTGTTTCACGAATTTCCGTGAATTTAGAAATGCCATTACTACTTCATAGTAGATTGACGCTTAATTGCTTTATTCAGTTCCGCAGCCATGATGGCTCGTGTTGACAGGGTATTAATAACAATCATTCTTTCTCTATGTTCCCTTGTATATCATTGGTCCAATTAGCCTATTTACTGTGGAACCAGCCTAATCATCGGGAACCTTGAGATAAAATGTTAATCTCTCCTGTTGGTTTGCTTAATATTTTATCCACGATTTCATTAAGACAAAAACGGAAGAGAGAATTAAAGGTTAAATAAATTAATAGTTCACACGTCTTGTAATATTTAAACTATCTCTTCTTGACTTATAGAGTACATATTTGTGTCAGGATTACAGTGGGTGGTCTGGTGAGCTTTGAGATCAAGATCTTCCCCTTGAGATCTTGTTACCAGGAGGTCAAGTGACCTCACAACCATTCCTTCCTCGCTACTCCACTTCACTCCAGCTACTCATAAAGGCTCAACGCTCGAAAACGCCTTTTCGCAAACTTTTATTTTTCATTATGGTTTTTCCGCAAACTTTGATCGGTGTTTTTATGTTCGTTGTTGTATATATAAATATGTGCCACAAGTAACCACATTAAAAGGTGAGAGAATGATAAAGTGATTTATAGACAGAGCGTGATTCTCTCTCTCTCTCTCTCTCTCTCTCTCTCTCTCTCTCTCTCTCTCTCTCTCAATAGTGGATTTAGTGAAAACAGATGTAATCTCACTTGGTTTACCGACCCTCGTTGACCAACCCGTCCTCCAAATACCTTGGGTAACAACTGCGGGCTCACCATAGCCCGTGCTACTTGGAACTTTGTTCCAGTTAGCGAATCTTAAGCGAAACGACACATTTTGACGTATAACTTCACCTAAGACCAAAAACTGTCGTGCTTGAAAATGGGAAGCGGCCCGGGGAAAGAACATAATATCCCGTTTTCTATTTGTGAGGCCTCTGCATGGTTAGGATAAGGAACGTTACTACAATGGTTTACTGACGTTGGGAAAATCTCACGACAACGGGCTGGGTGGTTACTATCCCTAGGCTCCGTGTCCATCATTTAATTCCCGACATATCCAACACATTAATTACCGAACTATCCAACACATTAATTCCCGACCTATCCAACACATTAATTCCCGACCTATCCCACACATTAATTCCCGACCTATCCCACACATTAATTCCCGACCTATCCCACACATTAATTCCCGACCTATCCAACACATTAATTCCCGACCTATCCCACACATTAATTCCCGACCTATTCAACACATTAATTCCCGACCTATCCAACACATTAATTCCCGACTTATTCAACACATTAATTACCGACCTATCCAACACATTAATTCCCGAACTATCCAACACATTAATTCCCGACCTATCCAACACATTAATTCCCGA